TTAGTTAATCTTTCATTCTAGGAACAAAGGGGAGAGCATGAGCAGAATTTGAGATCCTAACAAGAGAAGCAGCAACACCTGAGACAGAAACAGAGGTGAGGGCATGGAGAGATATAGCAGCTGAGGACTCTAGACTCATGGAAAGCGAAAGGCTGTGTGCCAGTGGCCAGGAGGCTAACTTGCAAAATGTGCCCTTGGGTTGCTTAAACAAATATATATTTTCTGTGTGTTTTGTGTACATCAAAAATAAACAAAAAAGAGGGAACAGAGGCAAATACTATTAAACACTGATGGTGCATGCAGGGGATTGTAATCATTACAATGAAACAAAATACACAAAACTGATGATCTGGCTCTGCCCTGTAAACTACCACTCAATTCATAATAAAAGCTTAAAAAAAAAAAGTCATTATACAAAACAATGATCAGAGAAGTGTCTGTGACCTACAGTTTAAGTAGAATGCAATCCTGACCCCAATTGCTGAAAGTCTTCATAATCTCCTCTGTTAGTGTCAGAACAGCCATAAGGACCTGGGTTAGAAACCTCCACTCCACCAGGCTCTCAGGGCAGGGGACGCAGCCTGGTGAACAACAATGTTGTTCATACATTGGCAAATATTCTCTGATCTCTGCTCTCTTGTGGGCACTGATAGAAATACACCATGGATTCATCTATGAAGACTCCACCCCTAGTTCAACAAGCATCCTCAGTCACTGGATAAGATGATTATAGGGGTTCACATCAGAGGTCCACGTGACCATGGGGCTTCATGATGATTACTACGGATTAAATTCTGTCTTTCAAAAATGTGTTGTAACTCTTAATTAACCCCTCAGGTTGGAAGAAACTCAAAGTACGACTGGGGAAAAGCTGTCTCCTCAAACTAGAGTTGGCCATAATGACATGAATGGAGTTAAGTTTAGGGGGCCTTAATTGCTAATGGGGCACAACACAAAATGGGAAGAAACAGCTGTAAACAGCTATTAATTATCCAACCATTGAATGTACAAATTATGAATCTATGAAAATTGGAAGTTGTCAAAATGAAGTGGAACATATAAACATCAATCTTCTAGGACTTGGTGAGCAGAAATGGACTGGTATTGGCAGTTTTGAATCAATCCTGTAGTTAACTAAATTGGGAACATCAAATTGAAGATGAGTGACATCGTATTCATAGTTAAAAAAAACATTTCAAGATCTTTCTTGAAGTACAATGCTGTCTGTGATAAGATAATATACATATACTAACAAGAAAGAACAGTTAAATACCACTATTATTCAAATTTACACGCCAAACCACTAAAGCCAATGATGATGAAATTGAAGAACTCTGCCAACTTCTTCAGTCTGAAATTGATCAAACATGCAGTCAAAATGCATTAATAATTACTGGTGAATGGAATGGGAAAGTTGGAAACAAAGAAAAAGGATCAGTAGTTGGAAAATACGACCTTGGTGATAGAAATGATATGGAGATAGCGTGAGAGAATTTTGCAAGACCAATGAATTATTATTCATTGCAAATACCTTTTTTCAACAACACAAAAGGTTGGACCTAACTATATGGAACACACAGGAATCAAATTGAATACATCTGTGGCAAGAGACAATGGAGAAGCTCCATATTATCAGCCAAAACAAGGCCAGGGGTAGACGGTAGAAAAGACTATCAATTGCTCATATGCAAGTTCAGGCTGAAGCAGAAGAACATTAAAACAAGTCCATGAGAACCCAAATAAGAGCTTGGCTATATCCCACCTGAATTTGGAGACCATTTCCAAAACAGAATGAATTTGATGATTAGACAGTAATGACTAAAGACCAGAGGAAGTGTGGTGTGACATTGAGAATATCACACAGGAAGAAAGCAAAAGGTCATTAAAAAAGACAGGAAAGAAAGAAAAGACCAAAATGGATGTCAGAGGACACTCTGAAATTTGCTTGTGAACATAGAAAAGCAAAAGTGAATATAAAAAAATGAGGAAATAAAAGAATTAAACAAGAAACTTTCAAAGGGCAGCTCCAGTAGAAAAAATCAAGTATTCTAAATGACATGTGCAAAGACCTGGGATTAGAAAAACAAAAGGGAAGAGCAGGTTCAGTATTTCTCAAGCTGAACAAACTGAAGAAAAAAATTCAAGTCTTGACATGCAATACTGAAGGATTCTATGGGCAACATATTGAATGATGCAGAAAGCATCACAAGAAGATGGAAGACTGTTAATCTGCTCTGTAAACCTTCACTCAGTTCACAATAATAATATTAATAAAAAAAAAGATGGAAGAAATAGAGTCACTGTACCAACAAGAAATGATTGATGTTAAACCATTTTAAGAGGTACTATATCATCAAGAACCAATGGTACTGAAAGAAGAAGTTCAAGCTACACTAAAGACACTGGCAAAAATCAAGACTCCAGGAATTGATGGAAGACAAAATGAAGTTTCAAGAAACTAATGCAACACTGGAGGCACTCACTCATCTATGTCATGAAATCTGCCAGACACATTAGAAGAGATCTGTATCTGTGCCTATTCCAAGGAGAAGTGACCTAATGGAATGCAGAAATTGTCAAATATCATTAAAATCACATGTGAGTAAAATTTTGTTGAAGGTCATTAAAAAATGGTTTCAACAGTATGAAAGGGAACTATCAGAAATTCAAACTTTTAGAGAAAGACATGGAATGAGAGATACCATTGCTGATGTCAGATGGATCTTGGCTGAATGCTGAGAATACCAGAGAGATGCTTACTTGTACTTTATTGACAATGCAAAGGCTTTAAACTGTGTTGATCATGACAAACTATTGATTGTTGGGATTAAGCTGGGAAAAATGAATATTCCAGAACACTTAATTGGAGTCTTGGTATGGTGCTGTTGAATAAGCACTGGACGGCAAGGTTGGTTTGAACTGCAAGGTCAGTGGTTCAAACTCACCAACTGTTCCTTGGAAACTCTATACAGGGCTGCTATGAGTCAGAACTGACTCATTGGCACTTAACAACAGGAAGAAGAACATTTAATTGTGCTCATGAAGAACCTGTAAAAAGACCAAGAGAAAATTGTTCAAACAGAACAAGGGGATACTGAATGGTTTAAAATCAGGAAAGGTGTATACCAGGGTTGTATCGTTTAACATACTTGCTCAATCTGTATACTGAGCAAATATTCTGAGAAGCTGGATTATATGAAGAAGAACATGGCATGAGGATCATAGGAAGACTCATTAACAACCTGCAATATGCAGATGATACAACCTTGCTTGCTGAGAGTGAAGAGGACTTAAAATATGTATCGATGAAGATCAAAGACCTTCAGTACGGATTGCATCTCAATGTAAAGAAAACAAAATTTACCACAACTGGACCAATAAATAACATCATGACAAATGGAGAAAAGATTGAAGTTTAAGCAAAACAAACAAACAAACAAAAAAAAAAAACCACTTCATTTTGCTTGTATACACAATAAATACTCATGGAAACAATAACCAAGAAATCAAATGACATATTACATCAGGCAAGTCTGCAACAAAAAGTTGCTCAAGAACAAAGATAACAGTTTAAGGATTAAAGTGCACCTGACCCAAGCTATGGTATTTTCATTTGCCTCATATGCATACGAAAGTTGGACAATGTATAAGGAAGACCATAGAATTGATATATTCAAGATATGGTGTTGGAGGAGAATATTGAAAGTACCATCAACTGCTAAAAGAACAAACAAATCTGTCTTGGAAGAAGTACTGTCAGAATGTTCCTTACAAGCCAGGATGGTGAGACTGTCTCTCATATTTAGACATGTTATCAGGAAGGACATCATGCCTGGTAAAATGGAGGGTCAGTGAAAAAGAGGAAGACGTCAATGAGATGGAATTGCCACGGTGGCAACAACAATTGTGAGGCTGGCATAGGACCGGGCAATGCTTCCTTCTGTTGTACTTAGGGTCACGATGAGTCAGAATCAACTCAACAGCACCTAACATCAACAACAAACAATACTTGGCGGTTAGTTCAAACCCACAAGCAGCTCCTCTACTTCTGTAAAGATTACAGCCTTGGAAACTCTCTGAGGGTGGTCCTACTCTGTCCTACATGGCTAGATGGAAATTACCTCAATGGCAACAGGTTATATACCTATTTATAATCTCACTTGGAACTGTTTTTCTTTGTTATGTAAATGAGATAAGTCGAGTGTAGAGTGTGTCTTTAGTCCATTTTTTTTTAAATGAGATATAAAAGGAGATTGTTGTGCCATCGAGTTGGTTCTGACCTATAGCAACTCTGTATAGGGTTTCCAAGGAGAGACAGGTGAGTTTGAACTGCCAACTTTGCGGTTCAAACCTACTTTGTAGCCCTATGTATTGACCCACAGTGTCATACCAGGACTCAAAAGGAGGTTAAGCAAGCAGAAAGAGGGGAAGACAGACGCCATACCACATGAAGACCACCAAGGAACAAAGACCTTCCTCCAGAGCCAATAGAGAGAAAACCTTCCCCTAGATCCAGCACTCTGAATTTGAACTTCAAGCTTCCTCAACGGTGAGAAAATAAATTTCTGTTTGTTAAAGCCACCCTATTGTGGTATTTCTGTTATGGCAGCAGTAGATAATATGACAGTGAGTATACTCTCCTCTTTGAGTTTGTTATGAGTTAAATTGTGTCCCCTAAAAAGATGCACTCAAGTCCTAACCCTGTACCTGTGAACAGGACCTAATTTGGAAATCAAAAGTTATCCGTGAACATGAGGTCTTACTGAAGTGGGATGGGCCCTAAGACTATGTGACTGTTAGTGTCCTTACAACATTGGAGAAAAGACATGGAGACAGACATGGAGGAGGATGTGTAGGAAACTGAATCTGCAAGGTCAAGGACACGTGACTTGAGCTCCCAGTCTTCAGAAATGAAAGTTCTTACTCAGTTTGTTACCTAGTTGGTGGGACTTTGCTATGGCAGTGTGGGGAAGCGCACATAAAGGGAATCAGGGACTTACAAGGTGACATGGTGATGTGGAGACTGGGCAGCAGGCCTGCCCAACTGCCAGGTGCACCTGCTCGGTGTGTCTGGTGGGATCCATAGCCGCTCCTTCCCTTCCTTTTCCAGGCAGTCCTTTCCTGTGTGTGCACTTGAGAGCTGGGGGTACCCAGTGGCCTCACGCATCACCTGGGGTGTCTCATCAGGCATGCTGGTACCTGGCAAAAGAAGGAACTTTCAGTTCAGTTCTGGTCTGGACATCTCCCTTGTGGCATTTTAGGGTCAGTGAGTGAGGTGGGAGCTCATCTCTCACCAGCCACCCTGGACTTGGAGGCCTGCAAGAACACAGCCTGAAAACAGGTAATGAAAACTGAAGAAAGTGCGGACTTTAGTTAAAAAGTCCATGGAGCCCCAGTCTGCGGGGAGGCAGATTTAATGCGAAGAAAAGGGCCGAGTGGCCCTTTGGCAAGGGTTGGATAGAAGGTGCAAGTGGCTCCTCGCTCCGGAATTGTAAATCCAGACTCCAGGACCCTCTCACCTTCTCAGCGTTCCCCTGCTGCGGGGCATAGCAGTAAGAGTGGAGGCTGCCCTGCAGTGACTGGTTCACTTCTTAGCAACTCAGCAAGTGGCCAGAGGCAAACCAGCACCTAGCAGGGAGTCACTCCGCCAAGGGTTAAGGCCCGGGGCTGAAGAAAGCAAGAATCGCTCCTGCCCCCACTCCCTTAGTAATTCACGCCTCTTGTAATTCATCAGGCTGGCAGCCAATTGCAGTCAGGGCAGAAATCTACAGCTCCGCCCCCAAGTGTACCAGAGCTGAGGTTCTCGCGAAGTCTGGCTACTCAGAAGAATTTTGACGCTCTTTTTTCTTGACAAAAATCCTCCCATTTCCAAAGGCTCACTTTCCCCCAAGGCTCCTCTTCCTCAGTCTGTTACAAAACCTCCGCCTTAAGAGGAACAGCGCATTCTCTCCTTAGTGTGCCTAAGGCACCTGGGGGCGGGGGTGAGGCGAAATTCCCACCTAGCAGAAGAGCCCAGGTCCTAGGCCTCCCTCCTGTCATAGAAGACAATTAGGAGGCGCCCAGGCTAGCGCGGCCTGCGCTCCTCTGCCGGACTCTGTTAGGTTCTTGTGTAGACGGGTCCCAACCAACGCGGGCGGCGCTGGGCCTCTTCTTTGTCAACTTGCCTCTCCAGGGCGCGATCTCTGCTAAGGTTAAGAGTTGCCGGTAAGGGATCGAAACCCGCCTAAATTCCGCAGAACCCAAAGGCGGTCGATAGGAAGTTAGCGTAGGGATCCTGGTCCGGGGTCCGGCACCTCAGCTACAGCGCCAAACAGCCACACGCACGTGCACCGCCACCACCTGTGGGTGGGTCCTCAGAGACCAGTTCACCTGGCGCCACTAGGCACGTCCCATCCTGCTACACATTAAACAGCAAGACGCTCTGGCGTCACTACGCCCCCAAAGGCACTCCTGCATGCGTGTGTACCCTTCGGTCCAGAAGGAGCCGGTGAGGACAAAGGATACAGACAGTAGCGAGCGAACCCGTCTTTTAAAGTAATTGTTTTCAGTGGTAAACCGACGCGCTACAGAGGATTCTGAGACCTCTTGACCTTCGGAAGGTTTATGAGGTTTATAAAGGTTCAAGGATAGCTACGTACGACTATCACCAGCCGGCGGTCCTTAGAAGTCTCAAAGTTTTGCCCTCTCCCCTCCCCCACCCTCACTTTCCTGGGCTCAGTCACACGGACTTGCCTGGGGCCCAGGGAAGTGCGGGTCACCCTTTTCCTCCATCCTCCGGGAGAATCCGAGAGGGCGTTCGGTCAGGGTCCCGTAAGTCCTGCACCCCTCCCCCGGCAACCTTGCTTGAGGTCCGCGAAACAACATCAATATTGACTCCACCGCACCCGAGCACTTTGCGAAACAACCCTTTCCCATCCAAAACGCAGCGAAAAAAATCAATCAATGCTCTGCACCCGGGCAGCGCATCTCCCAAAACTTTCCACCAGCGTTACAGTAGGGGCCCGACCCACGTGGTCTTCCAGCCGCTGCGGGTGGATGATCCGGATTCTCCTGGAGCTACGGGGGAGCAGCCCGCGGGCGCCAGGGACGCAGGGGCGGCGACCCCATGGGGTAAGGGCTGGGCGTGGGGGCAGTTGGGGGAGTGGACGGGAGGGAGCAGGGTTTCTCTGGGGTGGTCCAGGGGAGATGATGCAACTCTGGGTGGAGGGTGGGTAAGAGAGACCCCAACGCCAGCCGGGACTTCTCCCAGCCAGGGATGAGGCTCAGTCTCGGTGGGGGCCCGGGGCTCACCTGAACTGGAAACCCGAACAAGAAAGAGAGCTCGGCGAGTGCACGAACCGCAACGGCCGGACAGCTGCTAAGCCTAGACCTAGACCTGCGGCTGGCAACTCCCCAACACCAGTCACAGGCGGTTAATGATAGGAAGACGATTGGCTGAGAGGAGGGGGCGGAGGCCTGGTTCGGCCAATCCCGAGTTGGACAAAGTCCGGCCCCGCACCCTTCACCTCAGAAGCAGACGCAAGACTGCGGTCTGGATCTTGTACCCCCTCTGGGCCCCAACCCAGATCTGGAACCCCGCCCCCACAGCGTCCCCACAAGTCCCCGGGACCCCTGACCTTAAACCCGGGACCTTCATCAGAACATTCGAAATGTACAGACCTCACGGAGTCGTTGGTTTTTTGTACCTGATTTTCCCTATCCGGCTTTTCTTCTGAAAACGGCTGGCTCTTCGAAAGGTTAATAAAAGGTGTGTATATAATACGAAAACAAACAAAACACAATCTCGGAAGGGGAAGGACCTTGAAGATTGAACCTCAGCAAATATTTGTCGATCGATTTGGGAGAAGTTGAGCTCAACTCCCTGCGTCCCCACCGTCAGCTGCCTCCCTCCTAGGTCACAGAGTCTCAGACGTGGAAACCTTACGTTTCTTTCTAGTCTATCCGAAGCCTTATCCAATCTCAAATATTTCTCATTTAGTCCTAGGATGGTGCAAATGTTTCACATGTCAAGTTGCGAACAACTGCAAGGCTGGAGATTCGAGTTCAACCAGAGGTGCATCAGAAGAAAGATCTGGTGACCCATTTCTGGAAAACCAGCCTTTGAAAATGCCTATGAGGCAGTCCCGGTGTGGCGCTATACCATAAACACTGGACCATAAAGACGGTTTGAAACGAAAGGTTGGATGTTCAAACCCACCAGCTGTTCCTTGGAAACCTTGTATAGAGTACTGATGTGTAGGAACCAATTTAGACAGTACTTAAGAACAAGTTGTTGTTGTTGTTAAGTGCCGTCGAGTCGGTTCCGACCCATAGCGACCCTGTACAGGGTTTCCGAGGGTGTAAATCTTTACGGGAGTAGAAAGCCTCA